CTAGTCTGACGCGAGGGCTGAGCTCCAGGCCCATGGAGCAAGTGGCCAAACCACTGAGGACGCCGGCATTCGGGAAAGCAGATTGATGTTCGTGCAGCGCCGTCTGACCTCACCATTGAAAACCCGACCACTCCACTTTATTTTCGAGATGATACGTGATCATCGATTGCCAAACACCTCTAGCTTCCTTTTGTATTGAGCTATTAGCAGACACGCTTCACAACCACAACTGAGCACGGGTCAGATGGAAGTCTAGTAAACGCGAAGCTTGTTCCGCATCGGTTCCACAACTGTCTGAGCATTTGTAGAAAGGTCCACCTAGTTCTATATACACAATGTTGGATTCCATCTTTAACCTGGTTGTTTGGTCTGACTGAAAAGAGAAGATATTTGAAAGCTTGGAATGACTCAACAGGCTGCCCTTTGATGGAGAGGATTTGCGTTGTGGGAGAAGTCGGTTTTAGACGCGCTGATCTCTAGCCTAAATGACTGGGCAAGCTGATTTATGCTACTGACAGCAAGTTAGAATTAGTAGTCCGCGGTGTCCAAGTACGAAATCCTGAGCAACCTCGACTTCCACGATATATATATATATATATATATATATATATATATATATATATTCGTCACAACCTTGTTTGCAACACTGGGTGACCATTGGATAGACAGCTCTTTCAGGCTTGGCTGAACGTGTGCGTTCCCGGGTCCCCGACCAGTATGACTTCAAAAGCCCGTGGAATTTGTAGGGGATCCTATCATACCGCATTATGGACCACAAGGATTCCACGGACAGTAAAACACAGCGATGAAGTGAATGAAACACGCTGTGGTGGGTTGTTGGAACTTGCAGCCGTATTCCAATATATTACGGAGTGAAGAGTTGTTCCATACAGCCCATTTCTGAGAGGACGGTTTCCAGGAAATCATGTCATTGTTGACCTGGTCGATTACGGCAACTGCTACTCCATACAACCCGCAGTTGTCAGTTGGTTCGCCGCGCAATAACCGGTAGTCTACGTCTGCGTGATAAATTGATTTGCTCTAACACAGTTTAGTAAACGGACTCCGGACAGACAGTAGGTGTCTATTTTGTAGTCGAATAGTGAATGGAATGAAATACACTGTATCAAGCAGGACCCTGAAGTTCTAGCATGCTATGTTGATGCTGGCTCCGGTGTTTAGGTACCTAGCTAGCCCTAACCATTGCGAGATCGTAGGGCGTGTCGCTTCTCGAGAACAATGTAGCATGAACGTTTCAGTTTCAGTTTTTACAAACACTAACCGTGCACTTTCGTGCACCGGTTTTGGTTGTTGTCTTTTTGGTCGCCCATATGGATAAAAGAGATGGAAGATAGGAATGTTGAGAGCAAATTCAAGGGAGAAATCGAGAATTAACATAGATTGAGGTTGCGAGAATGTTGAGATGCACGAAAGTCTGTAACAGTCAGTCATATCACGCAGTTTCTGTAACCACCGGCTACCATGCTCTCGGGGTTCCTATCAGGGGAGCCTAACGGGACCTATGTGAGCCAGTGTCTTGGTTAGGGTCTTTATACCCTCATGCTACCTGTTTGTTCGACCGCCCTTCGACCTTTTTCCAACCGCTGCTTGCCTCGGCAAAC